GGAATGATGGGGAGGGGTAAGAAATGAGCAGTGATAGTTCTTCCCCGACCTTCTATTTCACCTCGGTTGTGTTGGGTTTTAATGGATGTTTCTCCAGGATCTTTAGCTGCAACACACTCCTGGTGTCACCACCCGAGTTAATTATAGGGATGGGATTTGTTTTCAAGTGTCAGTCTTTGGTTGTTACAAGAGGCACCAAAACAGCAGCACTTTAGCAAACTTATTTATTTTCACTCAGGTATTTGCAAAGTCTCAGTCACAAAGGTGATTTAATGTATCTGTTTGCATTGGAACCAGTGAACTTTCCTGCATGTGGGGTAACACAAATGCTGTGAAATTTTCTGAGTATCGTAAGTCAGAAACTTTTTTGCACTTGCAAAATGCCTCGAAGGAAATGGAGTTCTGTGATTTGTATGAGCTGGCACTTGGATGCTGGCTGGCCTGGAATGCACAGCAATCAGAATGGCCACAGAGTCAGAGAGGCTTTCTTGCCTCTGGATATTTGCCTCCCAATCCAAGATCAGTGGTGAGGGACAGGTGCCCACAGCAGCACCTATCTCCACGCAGTGTGGGTTCAGCTGGGGAGGATATGTTCATCATAGGGTGCTGCACAGACTGAATTGTGCACAGGTTCAAGAAGCAACCGGTCTGATTTGTAGCAGAGAAACGCTGCTGAGCACATTTTGGTGTGAAGATACCACTTGCAGCTCAGACATTCCGTGGCACCAGGCTTCGTGTTCTCATCCTTTTGGGTAGGAGTCTGCTGTGGGTTTTCTGGTAGGGTGGGGTATAAAAGGATCACTATATATAGGCTCCACCAGCAGATTTCCAAGGCTAGCAGAGAAGAATGGGGTCCTACCTGCTACTGTGAGCAGCATCTGGTACCTTGCACAGCTCCAACAGCTGGAGCAGCAGTACAGGCCCCACTTCCCAGGAGGAGTTGGGAGCCTCAACCTTCTTTTCCCTACCTCAGAGACTAAAAATGGCTGTATTACCTCTCTTCAAGCTGTTCTCCCCTTTCAAGGTGACATTTGCACATGGTCCTTCATTAAGGGCCATTTCTGTGGCCTTTGTGAGTCCTTGTGTCTGTGCTGTCTGTGCAGGTGAGCTGGGTTTGACACCACGCCTTCCAGGGATCTGCCACAGTGGGTGTGAAGCAAACGTGCCCTTCTGAATGAAGCCTCCCTGTTCATCAGAACTGGCCTTCAGACATGTCTGATTCAGCCTTCTGAGCACACTGATGTGGGGAGGGTGCGAATGGCAGTGACACCAGCAGGCAGGGCTACAACAAGGCCTTTTTTTTGGTCAAGATCAGAGGCAGATGCTCCCAGGTAAACACCTGGATTCACGTGGAGGCTGGGAAGAACTCAAAGGCATCCCTGGCCTATCTCCATGAGCAGTGCTAGTGTCAGTGCCAGAGGCATGCATGGGTTTTGGCTCTGCTCTGGATAAGACAATTTATCCCATGCTCTTCCTCTCTCCCCCTTTCACTTGCAGATCTTTGGGGGCCTTGTCTGGATCCTGGTGGCATCCTCGAAGGTCCCAGACGCCATGCTGCAAGGCTGGGTGATGTTTGTCTCTGTGTTCTGCTTCGTCATGACCACCATCCTCCTGTGCCTTTATATGGGTGGTGTGCACGGGGGTAGCAGCTCCTGGACCACCTTGGTAAGTGGATGAGACAAACCTCAGGGCCTCTGCCCCTCCCTGGTATCCCTTGTAGATAAGTGTCTCCTTTGCTGCTATACTGCACTCCAAATGGCAGGCTGGAGCTTGCTTTTCCCTTATTTCTGCCCCCCCCCCCCCCCCCCCCCCCTTGGAAATGACTGTGTGATCCTTGTTTCTTAGGATGTCATCTGCCATGAGACAGCAGCTCCCCTCACAGTGTGCTTCCTCCTTGGAAATGACTGTGTGATCCTTGTTTCTTAGGATGTCATCTGCCATGAGACAGCAGCTCTGTTCTACCTCAGTGCTGCCGTGCTGGAAGCCTACTTCACCTATGCCATCAGCGGGGGGACTTTAGTCCCTGCAATAATGACCATCTACCAGGAGAACGTTGCTGCTGTGGTGAGTGCCTGGCAAACAGGGGAGGGAAAGCGAGGAGGTGATGGTGGAGTGGCCTCAAGGGCAAACCTGTACTCACACCAATCATTCAGAGAGGGGGAGAGAAACAGTTACAGTCCTACTGTGCATGAACATCTCTAAGCATACAAAAGTCAACAGCAAACATGAGGTGTTTGCTCAGTGCAGGCACTTGCACCACATAATAAGAAGTTAACTGGCTGGTGTGTTTTTCCATTGTAGGTATTTGCATTCTTAGCTACCCTGATGTACGTGATCCATAAGGTGTTCTCACTCCTGCGATGGAAATCATCCTAAGAGCCTCCCCTCACAAGTGTCTCTCGTGGTCATCCCGCGAACACGAAAAGCTCTTCAACAGTGGCAGTTTCCATGCTGGGTTTGGGGTTTGTTTTCTAATGTATATACTATAAACAAGCAGCTTTTTATGTGAGTTCACAGCGATGAAGACAAAGAGCCTGCCAGAAAAAGCTATGTCCTGGCACAATCTGTTTCCTTTCAGTGTCTTCTGGGTTTGGTATGGTTTGATGCTAGTAATTTGGGCTCAAATAGAAAAACATCTAGATTTAAAAAGATGAGTAAAGTTTGGTTTGAAGTTCTAAAAATCTCCCTGAATCACACGTTTATGCCTCCAGGGTTGTTGTTGCTATCGGGGAAGGCCTGAACGACTAGCACTAAGGAGCATGAGTATGAAAGCAGGTCACTGTCAGCACTGCCCATCACATAAGCCTGTTTCCCTCCCTAAACCTTCTGTGCCAAAAGAACATTTTCATGCAACTTCTGGAAATGCCATCTTTGACTTTTGATGAGAAGCAGGGACAACATTTAACTTGCCTCAGGAGCAATATGGGTTAGTGCAATCTCCTGAAGGCTGTTGCTGAATCATCAGGCAAAGCTACAATGCCAGGAATTACCACTGTCTTTAATCCCCCTACAAAACACAACTTCATCTGAATGCTGAAATTACTCCAGAGTGTTAAGTGAGCCTGCTGGTTTGGGCTGGGATAGAGTTCCCTTCATAGGAGCTGGTATGGGGCTGTGTTTTGGATTTGTGCTGAAAACACTGTTGATAATTCAGGGATGTTTTTGTTGTTGCTGAGCAGTGCTTGCACAGGGTCAAGGTCTTTTCTGCTTCTTGCTGCACCCCACCACTGAGTAGGCTGGGGCTACAGAAATTTGGGGGGAGACAGAGCTGGGACAGCTGGCCCCACTGACCAAAGGGATATTCAGTGCCATGTGACATCACACTCAAAAATAAAAGCAGGAGGAAGAAAGAGGAAGGGGGTACACTCAGAATTGTGCCGTTTGTCTTCCCAAGCAACCGTCACATGTGAGGGAGCCCTGCTGTCCTGGAGATGGCTGAACACATGCCTGCAAGTGGCCAATGAATTCCTTATTTTGCCTTGCTGTGTGCGTGGCTTTTGCTTTACCTATTAAACCATCTTTACCTCAACCCACAAGTTTTCTCCCTTCTACCCTTTCAGTTCTCTCCCCCAACCCACTGCAGGGCAGGGAGTGAGGAAGTGCCTGTGTGGTGCTTAGTTGCTGGCTGGAGTTCATCAACAACACCAAGTTAATTTCAGTGGGGTTTAGACTCAAGGAGAGGTGTTTTCACACCTTAAGAGATGCCTAATAAATAGTGGTACAGAAGCTGACTTGGAGGCACCTCTGTTGCTTCAGATCCAGGGGGTTCTTCTGAGCTGTGACTATAAGTTTGGGTTGAAGCTTTTGAATTGCCATCAGAGGAAAACATTTGATATTTTTTTTTTTTTGTGGTTTTCTCATGCTGAAAACCAGCTTGACCTGTTTTGCTTTTGTTGGTGTGACAACAGTAAGCTGATTGCAACAGAGGTGGAAAAAGAAACCCCTTTTCAGAGCAGGAAGGAAGCTCACAGCCACTTTGAAGTTGGTTCTGAAGGTTTAAGGTGAACCTGCTGAAACCGGTGTCAACATCACTTCGTCATGGGGGTGAGTGCGTGTAGGGTTGGTGCTCAGATTTGCCCTGCTTCTATTAACAGCCCTAAATTTAGCATTAAAACACACAGATGCCTTTCTGTTTGTGTCTATTTAAAAGGCAGATATTCGTGGTCGTGTCTCAGACCCTGGGATGTGATGTCTCTGTCCACCTGTGCCCAGGTGTGGCCATCACGTTTGCAGCCTGTGTCTTTGTAGGGCTTCCATCTCTCCTCCTCAACTCTTTCTGCCTTGCCTTGTCTTCTCCCTTCCCTGCCACACCAGTCTGCACTAGTTCACCTGCTTGTACCTTTCCTTCTGGCCCCACCTGGTTTGCTGAGGAACCTCCCTCCCAGCACTAGCATGACCTTGCTGTAAAAACCAGCACTGGATAAAACCAGCTGGATGCTGCTGGCAGGGGCGTGTTCATCAGCCTCAGCACCCCTGGGGAGAGGGCTGGGACAAGGCTGTGGAATGTGGCACTGGGGCCAAGCCTTTCCCTGGGGAGGGGTGGGCAGAGAGAAGGGCTGCCACAGGGTCAAGAGCATCCACATGAACCTTGCAACTTTGGAGCCCTTCCTGTGTGGCCCCAGGTTGAGCCCCGTGCAGCTGAATGGCTTGCAGGCACAGGGCTGCTGGGCACCAGCGCAGGGCAGTGGCACAGGGCAGTGTGGCTTTGTTGTGCCAGGCTGCTGAATTGCACCTCTCGGGTGCCAGGTGAGTTGCAGCAACACACATGTTCCCTGCATAGTGGAAAGGAGAGGAAAAAAGAGAATAAGAAAATTAAAAGAGGTCTCCACTGCCCATTATGGTCAGCCCTTCTAGGGTCTCAGTGCAGCTGTAAAGACCCACGCGCCCTAGAAGCTGTGCTGCCCAAGGTGGGTGTCTGGGAAATGGCACGTCTCAATGCATCTGAAGGGAAAGATGCTGCCCAGAGCTCAGAGAATCTCTCAGGACCCACAAACCACATGCCATATGTGCACCAGGTCTTGTGCCCACAGAGAGCCCTGAAGATGGCATTGGCCGGAGAATTTGCTGTTGTCCCACTGGAAACTTTGGGCACGATGACCACTGTGCAGTGGTCCATCTCTGCTCTTCTCCTCCAGCTTCCTCAGCAAGAGGAGGAGGTGTGCAGGCACCTGCTCTAGAGAGCAGGCAGGCAGACTTGAGTTCACACCATCCACTTGAAAGCAGGCACAACCTCAGCTCCTGTGATAAAAACAAGGTTACAGACCTATCATTCATTAACTTGCCCTGATTGTAATCTTGGTTGCTCTTGCTTAATTAAGTAGCCTTTTAACCACCACGCTAGCTAGTCCCCGAATATTTGTATACTGCCTAACTTGTAGCCAGTGATGCAATGAGTTAGAAGCACTTCTGTCTTCTCCAGAATTTCAGAATTTGCCTCAAAGCAAAGAAACTTCATAGAAACTTCTGGCCAGCTCCAGGGAAACTGCAGGAGTTTGGATGTTTCTCATTTTACAGCTTTATCTGCCAGTGATGAGCAAACTGTGCTGGGTAAAACGTCTCTACAGGCATTTCTATTAACTTGTGAAAACAGGAACCCCACAGAAGCTGACTCCTGTGGTGGGATCAAAGCTCCCTGAGGGCTGCACACAGAACAGTGTTGGGGCCCAGGTCAGCTGGGGAGAGCTGGACTTTTTAACTTGCTCTGCATTGGGTGCTGCCAGCTAAGGACCTGTCCCTACAGCTTGTTCTTCTTCAGCCCTTCCCAAGATGACACAAAGGCCCATCCAGTTCTGCCATCTCATCCCATTATGCCAATGGGAAACGGCTGGAGATCATGCCATCATCACCCATATCCTCAGTTTTGGTGCAGCAGTGGCCTTGTATGATCTCCTGTGGCACCACCACTGTTCTTAGGCCAGAATATGGGGGTCTGCTCCATACATATTGAGTGAGGAAATGCAAGAAGAGAATGCAAGGAAGCAGCAGGACATCTCCAAGTGTGGGATGCAATCACCTGCTACTGACATGCACCTTATTCCTGATGCTGGGAACGTGTTGGCATGAGCATCTACTTGCTGCAACAGAGAGAAGCAAATGATGCAGTTAAGTCATGTTAGGCTCTGCTACCCAAGGTGGGGCTGTTTTGGGTCAGTGGCAGAGCCTGCTCACTTCAGCTCACTCTGCACCAACTGAAGGTCATACAATCCATATAATCCTATTGAAAGTAGATTTAGATTGAGCTGGCAAACAGGTATAAAGCCTTCAGCCACCTGCTCAGCAGACATGGCCTTTGAATTACAGTTTTCATTATCAGAGTGAGATAAAACGCAATTAAATTCACCGTGCCTGTTTGTATTAGATGCAACTGCTGTCTTTAGAAACCTGCACTGAAATCAATGCAAAATATTGCTCCTAAATGTCTTTGAGAACTTCCCAGGCTGGTCTTGAAGTATTTTGAAGGTATTTTCTTGTGGCACAGAAGTTAACTGACTTGTTTTATAGCCTGGACTGCTCTAAATCTTTGTCATAAAACATGGGGTTTGGTTCCAGTTTCTTTTGCCATGCCCAGGACAAAACCAGGGAGTTGCCAGGTAAAGCAGCGTGTCCTAGCATGTGGTTGCAGAGGCTGTTTTTCTGGTGGGATTAGCGCGATGGATCTCCTCCAGCTAGTGAGCTAATGTAGCCCATACCTCTGTGTGCTGCAGCTGGGGATCTGCTACGTGAAGGGGTTTGCTACATCTCTGGTCAGAGGCTGGTGTGTATCATGGATTTGTTCTTTCTCCTTAATGCTCTTGAGCGTTGAGGCACTTTCGGAGATTTGGGAAGGGCCTAGGACTCTCCTCAGTACTAAGTTGCCAGAAAACTAAGTTATGTCTTATCCCAGCACGTGTGCAGAGGAGAGTGCTGTAAGAAAGGTTGGATTGGACTTCCAACACCAGTCAAAATACTACAATACCCCACAGAAGACTGGGGTGGCTGTCCTCAGATACTTGGGCTCTGCGTCTTTTGGGGACCTCCTCCACTTGCATGAGTAGTGTTTGCACAAGGCCAGATGTTGCCCACCATCACCTTGTCCTCCTTCCCTCACCCAGAAGATGCACAACTTCCACCTTCCGATTTCACGGTTCCCCCACCATAAGGAGTGAGCCCAGGGAGGAGATGGAGAGTGCACACGTGACCTCCTGCTACTGCTGCCTCCTTCAAGATCTCCCAGGCACTAGCACTTTGCAAAGAAGACCCAAACAAGCCCACACTGAACTCATTCTGAGGATTTTTTATTGCTTTCACAATCTTATCCTTTCAGTAGTTTCCCAAGAGCTTGTGAAAGGAACGTGGGATCTGTTGATTCAGGAACGGACTCGACGCACGCCTGAAGACAACGCCACGGTCACTGGCTGCTCCCACCCCAACATCCCCAGGAGAACAGTGCTCAGGGGAATTGCAAGATGACAGTGTGACTGAATGGCAGCCATGGGAGCAGTGATATGAATGGCACGAGAGAGCTCCTGGTGCCCTCCTCTGAAATGTAAGCCTAGACAGCCTGTCCACCTGGGCTGGGCTCTCCCAGCTGCATCTCTGAGCAGAGGGAGTGAAGCTTTTACCATATTGTCCGTCTGACGTTCGCCCAGGGAGATTTCTTCATTCCCTGAGCTGCTTTCACCTCGCTCCACTCCAGCTTTGTGTCTGGAACCTCATCTTCAGGCTCGGGATCCTCTCGGACAGTCCCCTCGGGCAGTGCCACAACGATGGGCAGAGGGCCCTGCTCCTCCCGGAACTCCACTACATACAGACCCTTCTGGTTTGCTAACTGCTGGTGAGTCTCCTGGGAGCAGGAGAGAAAAAAGACAAAGCAATGATGCATATCGTTGGTTTACTGCAGGTCAAACTCTACATGCTGCCTGGGGTAGAGGAAAAAAACCCAACAAACTAATTTACTAATAAACAGTCTAAATACTGAGTAAATTAAATGACTTGTCAGACTCATCCTCATGGGTTTCAAACGAGCTAACTGCATAAGCAGCAAGAATTCAGACAGCCACACTGCAGCTACACTGGCATTACAATGGCATCCTAGAGGAACTTGCTTCTGGAAAGGACCTGGCCAGAAAAGGCACATCCTGCTAATAAGGATCCTTAATAACAACACATTCTGCCAATGATGCATGTTGGCAGGTTAGTAACATGCAGTAATGTTTGTATTTATTTACATGGATATAAATTTTGCTTTGACAACACTAAAGTGCTTATTACTGCTCTGATAGATAACATTAGTTAATAAAATGATATTAATTTATTCAGCTACACATCTTTCTCTCATACAAGTTGTTTTGTTAGCACTCAGATTTTACATAAAAAATGTCTGCTGGGAACAGGAAATTTCTCCCATTCAGGGCAGTCAAGAAAATATATGAAGTACACATCTCTCAAAGCAATGACCTATTCTATTCTACTCATTCTGTGCAAGACTTCTGAAAGACAGTGCACTGAAAATATATGATAGACTTCCTCAAGTCTGATTAACCTCACACACTGATAAGCACCTGTAACATCTCATTAGGCAAAGAGGATCACAAGCCCCTCCCGAGGCTAAACTTGAAAAGTTGGCTAGGATGGGGTGACAGATTTGACAGCTTTGCAGGGCTGTGCTGGCCATGTAAGCAGCTAAATCCTGGCACCTACCAAGACTTCACCACCAAATGAGACAAACAGGAATGTTCAAAGGACTGACTCATCCTAAAGCTCGGAGGAAGTCAGATGAGATGCTGCATGTTGGACCCTTCCATCAACTTCAAGCAGCTGGCTCAGACAGAGACATCTCCATTGTGAGCACTCTGAGTTAGAGGAAATGACACCAGCTCCCTGACTTATTTCAGAGATCTTAATGATACTTGTGACAGAAGCAGCTGTGATGTTCAGTCCTTATGCAAGGAAAACTTAGAATGCAGACAAACAACCAGCAACAGCTGGGCCACAACTTCCTCTGCCCAAGATTTTTCAAGTGTCACCAAAAATACTACAAATGAAAGCCCAGAAATTCAGATGTCCCCTGGAGGCACTTGGCTGTGAAGAGGCAGAGTTCCATACAGCTGCTTGGGACTGGATAACTTCACACAACTGCTGAGGAATTATTTACATGCTGATTTTGTTTGCTCTTCAGAAAATTACTTCATGTGGAGCCTAGAATATAAACTGTTTGACCACAAATGACTACAGTATCAATGCCATTCTGATCTAATGTATAGAACAACCAAGGGTACAACCCACCTGTTGTGTCAAGCCTTTAAAGAGAGCTCTGGTAATGTTAATCAAGTTTTTGGATCCAGAAACCCTGGCGTACATGTCTTTAATGCCAATTAGTTTGCAGATGGTGATGATAGCTCGGTGGCAATGAAGACCATACCCTGGGGGAAAAAAAATAAATTAGCATTATATGACTATTTGTAAGCGTACAAGTTAGGTAAGGAAGAAGAGAGAACTAAGACATCTCAGTTAGTTTTGTTACCTAGCATGTTAGAACACACTTTTTTTAAAAAATGGCAAAACCATTCTGGGAAGACCATTCTTCCTGGCCTTCGCAGCCATGCTAACATAAAGATTGTGGATTTTTTTTTATACTAAATATACCTTATTTAACAAAAAACAAATGAAAAGGTCACCACCTATAAACTCAAAACCATAAAAAATGCAACCTGAAGAGTTGTTTAGTACCACAGGTTTGGGTAGTGTTCCTTAGAAGTACCAGTGGCAGCTTTAGAAGAGACAAGAGAACAAAGCCATGTCATCAGCAGTAGGTATTTCTAATGAAAATAAACGTATCATCTTCAGCAGGGTTGGCTAGCACCAAATGATCCATCTCTGAAGTAAATAAACATTGCACAAATTTACCTTCCATCCAATAAATACCAGTCAGCAATTAAGAAAACGTCAAAAATTTCCAGCCAGCTTTAATTACCTTTGTTTTGCTTCTTCATGCGGATGACTGTGCGTTTAAATTTCACTGCAATGTCATGGTAAACTGGAGGGGAAAAAAAAAGGCATTGCAGCTAAATACCATGTTACTACTGTGTACAAAACCAAGCTTCTTATTTCAGTTTTTCACTTGATATGAAGCGTCTGTATGCCTCTAGTGATCCTTGTCTGGCTTTAAAGCCAGCTCATGTCATACAATTGAACCCTTTTCCTCATCCTCAGGTTTTTCTAATAATCCAGCTTTTAACCTAAGATTTCCCCATAGGTTTCAATATTCTTGGCTTTGCCATATAAAATATTTACCATTCCAGGCTCCTTGGTGGTAGAGAGGTTGGTGCTGGTCTCTTTTCCCAAGTAACAAGTATGGGACAAAAGGAAGTGGCCTCAAGTTGTGCCAGGGGAGGTTCAGGTTGGATATTGGGAAACATTTCTTCACTGAAAGGGTTGTCAAGCACTGGGACAGGCTGCCCCGGGGCGTGGGTGAATCACCATCCCTGGCCATTTTTAGAAGTCGTGTAGATGTGGTGCTTATGGATGTGGTTTAGTGGACTTGGTAGAGTTAACAGTTGGACTTGAAGGTCTGAAAGGTCTTTTCCAACCTAAATGATGCTATGATTCTCTCTGCCTCCAAAGGAACCCCAAACTCCTGTTCTCTAGTGGGAGGCTGTTACATACACCTGATCCAGTGGCTCAGTCTCTGCACAGCAGATCCTGGCACTGCAGTCAAGGTGGCTCAGAGAGGACCTCCATGTTAAGTAGAATGGAAAGCATGGTGGAAACACCACCAGTTTTTCATCAAATCCCCAGTCTGGTAGTGTGAAATAATAGTGCTCAAGGCATAGACTCATGAAGATAGCTGCAATTTTGTATTTGTAAGCTGAAGTCTATTCATACTGAATAATTATCTACACAATGACTTGCTTAAATATTCATATACACTATAAGGTACCATCTTTCAAAATTTTTCTGAAAGATAACTGAATATTTGGTATACTGGTACCATGTCTGACATCAGAGAGGACTTGTATGGTATTAAATTGAATTAACAAAAAACTACTGGTCTCTTTCCAGTGGTGCCCAGCAATAGGATGAGGGGAGACAGGCACAAATGAACACAAGAAATTCTACCTCAACATCAGGAAAAACTTCACTGTGAGGGTGATGGAGCCCTGGAACAGGCTGCCCAGAGAGGTTGTGGAGTCTCCTTCTCTGGAGACTTTCAAAACCAGCCTGGATGTGCTCCTGTGCAACCTGCTCTAGGTGAACATGTATTTGGCAAGGGGGTTGGACTAGATGATCTCCAGAGATCCTTTCCAACCCCCACTGTTCTGTATTCTGTGATTCTGCGACTTCTCCAGCTCACATTCTCCCTGGGTGCTGGGCTTTGTCAGCATACATGGATTGAGTCAACAGGGAATCATTTCTGACATACAAAGGGGAAGAGCACTGTGAAGAGATGCTCAGACACTATCTGACTTCCTTAACTCAAATTGTGCCAGTGGAGATCTAATCTTGCTACTAACTCCTTCCCCCAGCCCCTTTTTTAAAAACTCTTTTTTAAAGAGTCTGAGATACTATGCATAAAATATCCAAATCTTAAGCACAGAATCATAGAATATTTTTGATTGGAAAGGACCTTTAAAGATCACCTAGTCCAGTCACCCTGCAGTGACCAGGGACATCTTCAACTAGATCACATTGCTCAGAGTCCCATCCAATGTCCCCAGGGATGGGGCATCTACAGCCTCTCTGGGCAATCTGTTCCAGTGTTTCACCACCCTCATTGTAAAAAACTTCTTCCTTACATCTAGTCTAAATCTACTTGCTTTTAGTTCTAAAGCGTTATCTTTTGTCTTAGGGCTACAAGCCCTACTAAAAAGTCTTTCCACAGCTTTCATGGCAAAGGCAGGAGATTAGAAGGGAGATAAATCTCTTGATATTTTAACATCATCTTGTACTATGTTATCCTAACTTTTCTTCACTGGCCTTCCTACAACTGTTGATACAAACCGAAGTGAAAGTAAAATAATGCATGAAGAGTAATAATACAATGCATCAAATCCAAAAGGTTTTAGTTAATATCTTTTTATGCTTTGTAACTAGTTGGAACCAGTTCTTGTTGGTCTATTCAGTACTTATTGAAAGCTGCAGAAAGTCTAAAAAACAAAAATCATAATACTTACTTGTGTGGTTCTGATACAGCTCTATAAAATGCAAGCAGTGTATTGCTTTATTCTTTGCCTAGGGAACAAAAGCAGAAAACATTTTTTCTTGAATTTTTCTACAAAGTATTTGGAATTTACACAGACAGAAAAAAAGCAAGAAAGAAAACTTAGGAAAAACAGATTGGCCACATCTAAATAATTTACTTTATGGAAATAAAAATGTTCTCTTTAAAGAACTACTTTCTCCTAGCAGATTTACTATTTTAAAAGATTTCTCCATACAGTAGCAAGTTTATCAGATTTTGTGTATTTTAGCATCCCTACTTTGATAACTCAGTTGAGCATTAGAACACAAACTAGATTAATGTGCAGGGACAAGTAAGATTTTGAAGTCTTAATAAGATCGTTATGCATGTGGACCTACCTACATGCTAACTGTAAAAGCAGCAAAATCTGTATGCTGTGTAGACAGGGGAAGAAGTGACCATGGAGGGAAAGGTATACACCATAGACAAGGGAGAAGAAAGCAAATAAAGTGCATTAACAGAATGTCACTGCAGGGCAACCTCATTACACATGTCCAAAGAAGAGCAGTGAAACTGGTGAAGGGTCTAGAGAACAAGTCTTATGGGGAGTGGCTGAGGGCCCTGGAGTTGTTTAAC